TCCCCGGAAGGTTGTTTCGATCGCTTGTACTTTGGCCAAATTAGCCACTTTAAACCCTTTTTCTTACGCTTCTGCCGCTCGAGTCGAGAGCTTTAGGCAGTTCAGCGGGCTTCCTTCCGATTGGGAGTTAGTTGTTCCGGGTCCTGACAGCAATTTCGCCTTGCCCCCGAGGGTTGTCATACCTTCTTTGTCGACCAAGTTATCTTTGGCTTACGCTTTCCCGTCCAAGCCGAGCTTTTGGAGATTAGTGACTTGTATAGAATCCCAATAAATCAGTTTTCTCCCAATGCTCTTTGTATCATGATAGCCTTCATCGTTGTTTCTCGTATAGTTTTTCATTCTTTTTCAGCCGAATTTTTTCATTACTGTTATAGTTATCGGCTTCAGAAGGGGGCCCATTGTTTGATCCGTCGTCCTGGCGTGACCTTTCTTGACGATCTTTCGTCAAATGTCCCCGAGTGAAAGTCGAAGTTTGTCTTCATTCGACCTCCCGTGGGTGCTTATCCTTATACAAATAACTGGATAAGTACAAAGTTAAACAGAATAAACGGTCTCGAGCCGAGGACTTCGAAAGACTCTTAGCAGAGTTGAATAAATGTACTTATAGCGCTCGACGCATAATAAGAGACCGTGGGTTGGTCAATCATGCCCGAATCGTCCTGTACGACGATCTCCCTCAGCTCGATGATCCTCGTAAGCTGTTCAGCATATCTTACAATACCGAGTCGTCCCTTGTCTTCTTCTAACCTTTGCTTTTATTATTATTTTTTCAGTTAATACACTCAAACGTTTCGAGGTGAAGAAACCGCCCACTGCTCCTGCTCCACCCGGCAGATCTGGTGCACAGTCGACTGCCACGGGTCGAAAACGCAAGTCCTCGGGTCCGAGTGCTCGCAAGAGGCCTCAGGATGATCGCGCCCCTTCCTTGCTCCCTGGCGACTCTAAGCGTCGTAAGGTCGACAAGGGTAAGGAGAAGGTGGACGAGGGGAACACTGTCTCCAAGCGGACAGAATCGTCCGTCACCTACAAGGACGCGT